AAGTCCTGTTTATTTATTTCTATTAAAGGCAATGCCTGCTGCGGCTTAGACTTGCCTCATGATATGTAATTGAAAGTTGCTTTGAACACCTCCTCCTGCCTCTGCTGCCCAGTGCTGAGAAGACAGTCCTGCAACTGCTGCCAGACTGGGCCTTGAGAGCTCAGTGAGAAGGAAAAATGGAGTAGTTAGTTAATGAGTGTCGGCCAGTGTCTCTGGCTTTTGGGGGGACATGAAAATGAAGAGGGACCTGTGTAGGAGTTGAGTTCACTGACTGTCAATGAAGCTGATGTAGTAGCTAGCTCTGTCTTAATTATTAAGCAGTTTCTATGGTTTCTGCTTACCAGAGAATGTCAGGACTTGTTTCTCCTTTGGTGGCTACATGATATCTCTTCTCTTCCTCTCCCTGCCTTCCTTTCCCAGAATTTTCCTCTTCTCCTAGTCCTGCCTATCTTTCTGCCTCTATTGGCCTAACAGTGTTGTATTCATCAACAAATAAGAAAAACATATATACAGGAGGACATCCCCTATCATCTCCTCTATTACTGTCTAAATAAAAGGAAAATATTTAACTTTAGCATAGTATAATTATATATAACAAATCAGTTATCAAATAAAAACTATAGTTAACAATATTTAGTCTGTTAACATTTGGCAAAATTTAAAAAAATATTCTATCATCTACCCTATCTTTGTGAGTCTAAAGTTTTAAATGTAACTTATCTTTTATCATAACTAAGGAAAACCATAACTATCTGTCTTCAACTCCACCAAAGACCTCAGAAGGCTAATATATAAACTCTAGAACTGACATCTTGCTGCCTAGATATCCAAATATCCTCTGTAATTTCTTAACATCCATCTTCAGCCCATAGGCCATAGTGTATCTGGCACACTTCTCAGTGAAACAGGAAAATTGAAACTGTCCTGCCTCTATTGGCAGATTGTCAGTCATTTTTCTGTGTGTCCTGCAAAATGTCTGGCAGACTCTTCATGAAACAGGAACCCTTCAAGACTGTCCCATCTTGTTTTGCAAGTTCAGCAGTCACTTTCCTGTGGGTCCTGCATGTTTACATTATATAGCATACAGTCAAACAGTCTAGGCAAGAGCAGTTTCTTGCCCAAATGGCTAGTCTTGCTGTATCAAAAGCAATCTCCATAACAAGTTCCTTTGATGCCCATCTTTCTCTCTGACATGATTGGTATTGGCCAGGAGCATTTGCATCTCATTGTCAAGAAAAACCATAAACCATAGTAAATGCCATGTTTTATAGGTCTTTAAAAGGTTTAAAGAACATCTATCCACTTGAAATATATCTAGAAAATATAACTAACATAAGTTTTGACTATTATAGGTAACTATCTATCATCTGTATTTAATTATACATTTTAATGAGCTGTATAAATACAATATCTAAACAAGTGTAAAATTGTACCTTTAACAAATTTACCTAAATTTGTATCAATAAATCAAAATCAATACCAATGCAAAGTATTCATTTCTATATCATATTCCCCTTTTTTCTTTTAAAAAGCGATTGGCTGTGGTCACTAACCATTTACAACCAACACCATTTAAATAAAAAAAAACAATACTTGGGAATGTGTGTATTGTTCTCTCTAAACTGCTTCCTGCTGTTTGTGGTCACTGAAAATACCGTGGTGGGATCCTGAGAAAACTCAGAAACCTGGCCAAATCCTGGCTGTAGTAGTCTGCAAGGCTGCATGGCCTCAGCTGTTTTGGATGTTGGATCACCTGGGCCACTGCTTCAGCGAGTCTTGCTTGATCAAACCAAATTAGTCTAGAAGGAATTCAAAGCTTTTCATTATCTGTGGAAACAAAAACAGAACCCCTTTTACAAAGCAACTTGTCCTTAGACTTAAATTTTGAAGTCAAGGCATTTTAAAAATATATAGATTGGATTAATCCAGCGACACTTATTATCAAATGTCTTTTAACAGCTGTTGCCCTTCCCTCAGAGACCAAACAATTCAAAGCCAAAGTCCATTCAGATAACAGGGATAAGTACTGATCTACTATCAGATTACCAAGGTCTCCCCACTGTACACACATTCAGGGGGTCTGGGTCAGTCCAATGCTGGTTTCTCAGCCATCAGTCTGGGTCCATGAGTTTCCCCTTGTTCAGGGCAGTGTTTCTGTGGATTTCACCAGCCTGGTCTTGACCCCTTTGGTCTTCACTCCTCCGTCTCTGAAACTGGGTTTCCAGGAATTCAAAAATTCAGTGTTTAGCTGTGGGTGTCTGCCTCTGCTTCCATCAGCCACTGGATGAAGGCTTTAGTATGGCATACAAGGTAGTCATTATCTGGGAAGGGCATTGAATCTATTGCTTAGATTGCCAGTTTGTGTCATTATTGTAGATCTGTGGAAATCTTCCCATCACTGTGTACTTTTTTGGTTAGAAAATGTTTTCACTATGAATTCTTTGATACTATTTTTTTCTGAGACTTTGAGCTGAGATTCTTCTCTTTGTGTTCTGTTTTGTTTGGTTTAGTCATTTCATAGTGTTCTAGATTTCCTGTTTCAGGAAATTTTTAGTTTTAAACTTTTCTTTGTCAATGTAGCTATTTCTTCTTTCATACCTTCAAAGACTGAAATTCTGTTTTATGTCTTGGATTCTTTTGGTGAAGCTTGCCTCTGTATGTCCTGTTTGATTATCTAGATTTTCATTACCAGAATCCATTAAGTTTGCATGTTTCAGTGGCAATTATTTCCCTTTTCAGGTCTTGAAGAGATTCATTCATTTCCTTCAACTGATTGTTTTTTTAATGAGATTTTATTATTCTTTCACTGCTTTCTTTAAGGATTTATTCACTTCCTTTTTAAGGTCTATCATCTTTATAAAATTGATGTTAACCCAATTGTGCTTCATCTGTGTTGGAATATTCATGACTTGGTGCAGTAGGATAGCTAGAATCTGATAGCAACATTACTCTGGTTGTTGCTGATTTTGTTCTTATGCTGGTTTTAAGCTGATTGTGGCTCTATATGTCTATTTCTCAGTTTGTCTTTGTTGGATGGGTCTTTTATTCCTTGGTTTCTATTTCCTCTCTGATCTTCTGTTCTGGGTCGTCTATGCTCTGCTGGTGAGCATCTCATCTCCTCTGTCTTGGAGAGAAATGCAATCTGACCAGCCTGAAGTAAAGAACCTTTTTCCTTTGCATCAGAACTGTCAATTCCTTAGGTTGGTCTCTGGGAACCCGTAAACCTGGCACAACAGTATTATGCTTTGTTCTCTGTCAAAATATCTCCCAGATTCCATATGGTATTTCCACACCATACAGGCTAATGCTTTAAAATAAGGATTTAACACTTTGGCTGGGGAAACAGCATGAACTTCCCATGGTTTTGTATTGTGAATATAACATCTGCTGATGCCAGACTATACTTTCTAACACCTGACCTTGTTACCTTCCTTAGTCAACCCCCAGGTGAATTGGGATCACTATTTTCTTTTAGAACCTTTTTTAAAGGACACAACCATTGAATATTTCCCAACAATTTTTGAAAAATCGCTTAAAAGATTGTCAGATTGTAAGTTATCTTTTTTAATTTTTTAAATTGAGGTTTAATTTTTATTAGACTATAACATATGTCCCAAGTATGGTTTAATTTTTATTAGAATATAACAAATGTCCCAAATAACTTGAAAAATCACTCAAAATTTGCAAGTAGTCTTTTTGGATCCAACCATTAAGCCTCTCACTAGCTGACAAGGCCTCGTTTGCATCTTAGCTGACATGCTCTAATTTGCATTTACACAGACACCTTTGTGGGTGGGGCCTGACGAAGAGGCAGTTCTTTGAAAAAACTTTTTTTTAAATCATGTATTAACTTTATTTGCTAGATTATCTTTTTTGTTAACCATAAAAAATTTAGGAGGATCTCTGTATCCTCTCGTTTTAAACTTCATAGAATAATCCATACATATTTTCTTGGCTCCTAGGCTATGCCGTAAGCTTCTGGTGTTTTCTATTGATTGGCTCTGAAGGCTTAAATCTTTCATCTTTCCTGTTAAGACACTGACCTGACTGGCTGGATGCTGCTTTTGGCCCTATCTAAAGCAATTTAGGTAGCTTTTTAACTATATTCAAAGTGATTTAAGTATCCTTTTAATCATATCCAAGGCAATTAGAACAGTTGCTTTCATCAACATTCACGCATTTACACGTCACATTCCATATATACTGGCATGACCACGCCTATACACCCAGATCATATACACATCTCTTTCATCTATCCTCTTGCTTAGGTTCTTAATTGAAGTCTCTTGCTATAGCCATATAGTTGAATTATGAGCATCCAAAATCTGAACAAATCCAAATTTATCCATGTAGTCTTTTTTCTATAAGGTCTTAAAACAGTTTCTGACTGGCTGTATTAATAGCATTTCTATACATTTGTCTGGGCGTCAGCCATGGCAGCAGCTCTCAAGGCTGTGAGCTTCCTAGGCTCTGGCTCTGACCTTCCTCGCCCCTGGCCTTTGGGCCTGGGCTGGCCTGCTGTAGGTTACCTGCTGCCGTTTTTCTCTCCTGCACCCTGGACTTTTTAAGTTCCTGCCAGTCTGACATCCGAACAAACCTTTAACAGACTCATTTGTGCCGCCTTCCTTTCTACAAGGTCTTAGCATGGCCTGGCATGCGGTATTAGCATTTTCATAAGCTAGCTGTCTCAATCAAAAGGTTCATACCTGTACTCCCCTTAGATGATGTTTGTATTAGCCTACAGACAAAATTTTGAACTAACTCCTTAGTTCCTTGCTTGCTTTTTCCAAAACCTCCAGCCCGAGTCCTGGTGGCTGAAAGTCTGTTTTGAGTTCTCCTGGCTGCTGGGCTAATCTGCCCGTACCCTGCTATCAAGAGTTAGCTGCTGATCTATATCTTTGTATTGCCCTTCCTCAACGAGCACTTTATAACAAAAGGGAAGGTTTGGGGCTCTCTCTTTTTGTTTTGTTTTGTTTGTTGCTTCCCCAGCACTAACCTATACTGGAGACACCGACCTGCCAGCTGCCGGCCATGACCCGAGGGGTGCCTTCCCCTAGGCTGATCTGTGCTTGCTTCTTCCTTTGACAAAGGAACATTTCTCTGATCTGAGGAACCTTGAAAAGTTCTTATCTCTCGTGAGAGTGATTTTGCTAAATCTTTCAAGTCTCCTACCTTTGCTGAATTTTACCACTAGGTTTCTGCCTCTCTGTGTTTCTAGTTAAAAATGAGGGACGTGAAGACTCTTGTCCTGATACTTAATAACTTTCTTTTTATAATCATTTTAATCTCTCTGCCTGTATGTTCTTTTTGGTCTGGCCCCTCCTCAGTAGGTGTGGAGGTCTCCGCTAACCGCTTCAGAGGAAAATAATTTCCTGTTGTTCTGCAAGTATGCGAGGTAGCACCTTCGCTTCCCTAAAAATTGGCGCAGCATCTTTGATACTGCTGCAGCAGTGGCGTCTGTGAGAGGGGAAGGAGTCTTTTAAAACTTTTAAATTCCAAAATCCTCTGCAGTTTTGCTTCAGTTTAGCTCTCCTGGCTATCAAAACACACACAAGTAAATATACAATCATCTGAACAACAATTTTTGTCTTATACATTCCCTTAATAATCTTGAAGGCAGTCACCACCTTTTATTTATTTATCTGTTTATTTATTTCGCGTCCCCTAGGGACAAACATCTCCCCTATAAGTTACAACCTCCATGTTCCTTGTAAGAATTGTTTAAGACCCTTCTTTTTTACACTAATTCCTTGTATCTTCAGGGCTTCCTTGAGCCCGAAAATAGAGACTTTTGAGAGGATACCTGTCCCATCACTTACATTGGCTGTAATAATTGCACCATTGCTCACCACCATCCGTCTTGCTCTTTTCGCGAAGATAGGTACAGAACTGGATTGAATGCATAACTCTTTGTAGGAACTTCAGTAAAAGCCTCTGACTTCCTTTTCTCCTTTGTATTTCTTTGACTGATTGTTTCATGGGAGACAATATGTACTTCTGTCTGTCCTGGAGACCTGATTGCATAGACTAGGCTGACATTCAACTCAGAGGCAAATGTACCTGCCTCTGTCTTCTGAGTGCTGGTGGTAAAGGTGTTGGCCAATACACCCAGTTTGTCCATCTTACTTTCCTTTTTATAGGTAGTAATTGTTCATGCAGTTCTCTCATATGTACTCTTTACTGTTGATCTGTCTAATTCTCTCTTTCTGATTGTTAATAGGCATTTCTCTTGCAAGGTGATATCCTGTTCAAAGGATACTAAAATGACAGAGGTGACCATGCTATTCACTTTCCTTCTAAAGTGACTTGGTGATTACATTATAATGTCTGTATAATAGAATAAGTATGGAGTGCATAAGAATTATATGACTATGCTGTCAAAGAAGTATACATTTACAATATTGCAAATATCATGTTTTCTGTTGTACATATGTCCGGGATATTTTAGAATTCAGTGACCTATGATGATGTGCATGTTGCCTTCACTTGGGAAGAGTGGACTTTGCTGGACTCTTCCCAGAAGAATCTCTACCAAAATGTGATGTTTGAGACCTACATGAACCTCACTACTATAGGTAAGACCGAATTTTCATGCACATTTTAAAATGAAGGGACAACTATCCCTTGGTTATTAATATTCTTCTGTGATTTGATTGAGTAAGAAGAATAAGGTCATAAGTCAGTCATGGTTTTATGGTTAATTGAAGACAGTAAATTCAATTTTACTTAATTTTCAGTAATATATACTTTCTTGTACTATATTTTAGGATACAAATGGGAAGACCATAATATGGAAGAACACTGTCAAAGTTCTAAAAGACATGAAAGGTAATTTTTCAAGTGCATGATGATACAAATGTGCCTCTCAAAAATTTTTATGTGTCCTTGAAATTTTAAACAAAAGCAAGAGTGGAAATAAGCACAGCTTAAAGTACAGTGATTATTATTAAATTCTAAAACTGTAAACTTCAATTTCAGGTTGGTTGAATTGCATTTGCAAGGCAATCTTTTAAGGAAGATGACAGGGAAATAATGCTGTAATAGATATCACCATTTTAATCACAGCACCATGATTGTAGAACAGTCAATCCATTTATTTCATACTACTCATATTACAAAATGTATATTCATTGAGGAGATAATAACTACATCTGCAATACCTTCTAATAAGCAAATAGTCTATAGTAAACCTAGTGTTACTCATAAACTTGTTGTGACTATGCTAATGTTAAGTTTAGTGGGAGAAGCAATTCTGGTCTTGAATCAAGGGACACTTGTTGGGGAGAAACCTTAATCCCTATACGACAAGTCTATGAGGAACATAAATTCAAACTGGGCGAATTCAATGTGGAAACTTTTATTAGTTATTCTTCCTTTACAAGGTGTAACATATGTTACTCTGCTTATAAGCCATATAAACATCGTATACAGAAAGGCATCACATACCTGTATCTCAGAAAAAATTATAAGATAAGTATCAGTCTTCCCATTGAGTATGTATTTGATTCAATATATAAGTAATTAATTTTTCAGCTTCACTTCAACATACCCACACTGCAGAAAAGCCCTGCGGGTACTACGACAGTGTAAATACTCTGTCCTAGTTCACTTAGAAAATATAGTCTGACTCACACTATAAGAGAATTTATGAATGCAATAATGGTGGTGAAGATCTGAATTTTTCCAGTTCTCTTCAAATATGTAAAAAGTCTCCCATAGTAAAAAAGATTCTGTAAATGTGAAGCATGTAATAAAGGATATTACAATGAGAGGTATCATCATAGATGCAAAACAACCCTACAAGAAAGGGAACAGCATGAGTGTAAACACAGTGATAAAATCTTGAGATTTGATAACCTCTTTGAAATTGAACCAAATTGTAAAATTAATTCAGCCAGACATAAAGATTCAACAGTGTGTTGAATGTGGTAAAGCTGTTACATGTGCCAATTATCCTTGCAGGCATGAAGAACGACAAACTGGAGAGAAGCCTTCTGTATATACTCAGTGTGCTAAAGCCTTTGCATATGACAGTCATCTTCAAGGGCGTGAAAGAACACATACTGGAGACAAACCCTATCAATGTAATCAATGTGGTAAAGTCTTTGCACATCAAAGAAATCTTCAAGTCCATAAAAGAACACACACTGGAGAGAAACCCTATGAATGTGATCAGTGTGGTAAAGCCTTGTCTCATCACAGTACTCTTCAAATGCATAAAAGAATAATACATACCAGAGATAAACCCTATGAATGTAATCAGTGTAGTAAAACTTTTGCATGTCATAGTCATCTTCAAGTACATAAAAGAACACATACTGGAGAGAAACCCTATGAATGTAATCAGTGTGGTAAAGCCTTTTCTCATCACAGTTCTTTTCAAAAGCACAAAAGAACACATACTGGAGAGAAACCCTATGAATGTGATCAGTGTGGTAAAGCTTTTGCATGTCACAGTCATCTTCAAAGTGCATAAGAGAACACACACTGGAGAGAAACCTTACGAATGTGATCAGTGTGGTAAAGCCTTTTCTCATCATAGTACTCTTCAAATGCATAAAAGAACACATACTGGAGAAAAACCCTGTGTATGTGATCAGTGTGGTAAAGCCTTTTCTCAGCATAGTACTCTTCAAATGCATAAAAGAATAATACATACCAGAGATAAACCCTATGAATGTAATCAGTGTAGTAAAACTTTTGCATGTCATAGTCATCTTCAAGCGCATACAAGAGCACACACTGGAGAGAAACCCTATGGATGTAATCAGTGTGGTAAAGCCTTTTCTCATCACAGTTCTCTTCAGATGCATAAAAGAACACATACTGGAGAGAAACCCTATGAATGTGGTCAGTGTGGGAAAGCTTTTGCATGTCATAGTCATCTTCAAGTGCATAAAAGAACACATACTGGAGAGAAACCCTATGTATGTGATCAGTGTGGCAAAGCCTTTTCTCAGCACAGTACTCTTCAAATGCATAAAAGAACACATACTGGAGAAAAACCCTATGGATGTAATCAGTGTGGTAAAGCTTTCATATGTGACAGTCAACTTCAAAGGCATAAAAGAACACATTCAGCAGAGAAACCTGATGAATATAATAATTTTTTCTTAGCCTATGCACTTATCAGTAGTCTTTGAAATCATACTTCACTGAAACCCTATAAAAATAGTCAGTGTGGTAAAGTTTTACCCTTTATATATACAGGAGTAAAACTTTTTTGTGTTCAGTCAATCTATTCAAGCTTTTGCATATTACAATAGTCTTTGAGTACCTGAAAAGTGTAGAAAGGGCTTCTTATTATAAAAAATTTGGTAAGGTCTTTAGCTAACACATAATCAATTTCAAAACAGTATTTATTCTGTAGGAAAAAAATGAATGGTTTCAACAATCTGTTCAAGCATTATGCTATCTGTTTTTATATTGTTTGCACTAGCAAACTCATGAAAAAAAACAATTTGTGAACCCTGTGTGTAGGGTAAGTGGGCCAGCTGAAGAAACACACACCGATCCTGCAAACAGCACCAGTGAAACACAGACTGTGGCCCTGAAACTCGAGCAAAAGAAACACACACTGCCCTTAAGCCAGAGCCAAAGAAACACTCTTTGCCCCTAATCCAGAGCCAGTCAAAGAAATGCTCTAGCCCTGAACCAGAGCCAAAATGTTAGAATGGACCAATGAAAGAAACACATCTTTTTCCTGAATCCAGAGCCAAGGAAATACATTCTACTTTTGACCAAGTAAGTGCAAACCAACTGATCACTGAGATTGAAACCAAGCAAATTGTGAGCATGAAGTCCAGCCAGTCTCTGGGACTGGTTAGGCACAGGCATTGAAATCCAACCAATTTCTACCCTGAAAATTTTATTCCTGGAAGATGTCCATCCCAAGAAGTCCTATGTAAGGCATGTGCTTGTTCAGTTGGCAGTTGCCTTTCCCACTCTGGCAAAGGCAGCCATTCCTTGCCAGCAAATCTCTGGAATGAATTTTGGGTGAAGACCTTACATGTGAGCTGATCAGAAACTTCCTTAGCAGGGCAGAGCAGAGAAACAATGAACACCTCTGTTGTCAAACTCCCTTAGGGGAACAGAGCAGAATGAGCAACCTAGTCCCAGAGCCCAAGCAGACTGATAGATTTCTGCAGTGGTTTCTGCTATAGTTGAATGAAGCAGAGTAGGAACAGTTTGGGGTGGAACTGAGGAAAAACATCCATCTCGCCAGGAAACTCCCTTGGAGCAGAGCAGAGGGGCATGGATACCTCTTGGGAATCTCCCTGAGGGGAGTGGGGCAGGGCAGCAACAGACATCTCTGCTTGGAAACTCTTGCCTGTAGCTGTGATGGCTCTCTCTCAGAGAGGAGCAGGATTGCTATTCCCTGCAGGAGACCATCTCCCACTGGAACACAGCTTCATGCATAGGCTGGCATCTGCCAGTCAGGATTCCTTTCTCCTCACAACTGTAGGTATCCAATACCTATACTTCTAATCTGTAGGTATAGCCTGCCTCATGACAGTCAGGGTACGGTTCCTTCCAGAGCTGTAACACTTGCACCATGAATTTAAAGGATAATGTAACCCTTTAGATTTTATACTTCTCTTCAATTGCTTGAAATATCTAATTCAGGTGTAAAAGTTTAGGGATTTGTTTTAGTTTCTTATCTGTTCCTGTGATATAAGGTCTATGTCAACTTACAAGAATTTAATTTGGCCTTCCAAACATCATGCTCACTGGTACACCAGGGTCAGAAAGACCATTCTAGGCAAAGAACTTGCATCAAGATCAGGACTGAAGGACATGAATGTGGGTGGTGATTTAAGTCTGATCACCAGACATCATGGAGTCTGGCAAGATGGCTTCTCCCAAGAGCATGCCGAAAGGTGCACAGATGATGGCACAGATCCTGAAGGATATGGAGATTACAGGATATGAGCCGAGAGTTATAAATCAGATGTTGGAGTTTGCCTTCCGATGTGTAACCTCAATTCTAGATGATGCTAAAGTTTATTCAAGCCAAGCCAAGAAAGCTACTGTTGATGCAGATGATGTGCGATTGGCAATTCAGTGCCGTGCAGACCAGTCTTTCACCTCTCCTCCCCCGAGGGATTTATATTAGTGCCGTGCGGACCAGTCTTTCACTTCTCCTCCCCCAAGAGATTTTTATTAGGTATTGCAAGACAAAGACATCAAACCCCTTTGCCATTGATCAAGCCATACTCAGGTCCTAGAGCGCCACCCGATAGGTACTGTGTAACTATAGGCTTAAGTCTTTGACAAAGAAAAAGGCATCTGCTCCTGCAGGAAGAATAACAGTTCCCAGGTTAAGTGTTGGTTCAGTTTCTAGCAGACCAAGTACTCCCACACTAGGCACACCAACTCCACAAACTGTGTCATGTCTCAACTAAAGTATGCACTCCAGTGGCCCTCACAGGACAAAGGTTTACAGTCCAGATGCCTGCTTCTCAGTCCCCTGCTGTGAAAGCATCAATTCCTGCAACATCAGCAGTTCAGAATGTTCTGATTAATCCATCACTGATTGGGTCCAAAAACATTCTTAACTACTACTAATACGGTATACCAAAATACAGCCAATGAGTCAGCAAATGCGCTGAAAAGAAAATGTGAAAATTATGATGATGTTGCTGCTGCTGCTGACTATGATAATTTGTAATCCAGTCTGGATGCTTGTAATATGTATACTTGGTCTTGAAGCCATTGTACTGAAATTACACAAGCATGTTAGATGTTTTAAAGCTGTATTTTAGAAAATGGTATTTAAGAAGTATACATACTATGCTTTTCAATTGAAATGTTCAGTTTTAATAGAACTGGTAATGGTTTCTCATCTACCTTTATGCATAAAAATAAAATTGTCATTTATCAGTTTGGAAAAAAAAGAATTTAATTTGGCATCTTGGTTCCAGAGGGATGCAGAATCACCATGAAAGTGGCATGGCAAGTAGTGTCAGAATGGAAGCTATAGCAGCAGGCTAAGAACTCACACCCTCAACCTGCAGCATGAAGCAGAGTGGGAACTGGAAATGGTGTTTGGATGCAAATTCTCAATGCCTACCCCCAGGGACATATTTCATCCAGAAGGGCATCATTTCCTAAATCTCCCCAAATGATACCATCAACTTAGACCTCAAGCCTATATGCTTGTTTTCAGTTACATATACCAATCCACAATGAAGAAAAACTCTAAGTAAGCTGTCAGATACCTCAACACCTGTGTTACAGGAATGAATGGTTACAATAGAAAAACTTTCATGATTGAAAAATTGTTTAGTGTGTTATTTTAATTGTAATTATGTACTGTCAGTGCGTGATTGAGTGGGTATGTGAAGGTGCATTCTGGTTCCTGACAACATTAGATCCTTGCCAGTAGGACCAGGATGTATCCCTGGTGCATGAGCTAGCTTGTTGGGGCCCATTTCCTATGAGGGGATGCCGTGTCAGCCTTAATGCAGGGGGGAGTGGCAATGCTTTGGTGTGTAGTGGGAAGGAAGGTTGGAACGCTGAAGGTCTGGTTTGTAGAAATTCTCAACTTGTCATTCCGCATTCAGTTACGTGTGACAAGGTTTGCAAACAGTTTAGAACTGGTATAAAGGAGGTAATGGGGGCTCATCCTTCAGAAATATTTGACTAGAGTGCATTTAGCTTCCCTCTACCACTAGCCACAATAGTACAATTCAGGGAAATTCAACCCCAGGGAGCAAAAGGAATTTCTGGGCTACAGAGGTTCCTTCAGTGTACATGGTGTTGTGCAGGTTAATAGGGCAGATTCCACATATTGTGCTATAACCCATGTGGCAGGATGCAGGATCTTTCAACGTGTGTGTGTGTGTGTGTGTGTGTGTGTGTGTGTATCAGTCAGACTGGGTTTGCTAGAAACTACAGTGGGTAATGAGGGAATGCATAACCATAGGAAATATTTCTGATCACCTCCATTTCCAGAGAGACCTCTAGAGTATGGGGCCTCTGTGTGTGGGAGAGACATCACTAGTAGCTGGAGGGTCAGAAATAGAGAAGTTTAGGGTTCACTTTGAGTTGCTTTTGTGAGATTTCTGAAGTCTTTATTTAATTTTTATACAGGCTCAATCATAGGTTCCATTAAGTTCACATTTTCCTGGTTGAGTTTTCTTAGGTCTTCTGATTTAAGTGTGACTATATTTCTTCTTTTGTTCTTGGCTTTTTCTCTGTATACCCTCATTTGTTCACAAATATTGTGCATATTCTTCATTTTTGTAGATTTATGTAAAGAACAAAATTATGTCAATGTGTACCAGTTTTTATTAATCCTGCTGAGAATTCTGTGTTTTTTCATGTGACACATAGCTTTGGAATCCGATTTACTGTTGTAATTTGTTGAAAAATTTCTATGGATAGTATTGAATTTATGCTGTAAATTGAACATACCCGACGTCTTCATGATGTTGAATACACATCATTTTTTTTATATTTTATTTTCCAGTTTAAATTTAGATAAGAAACGAGGTTGCTTCACAAGTCAGTTCAAGGTTCCTCTCCCATTCCCTCCCCTCCTCCCGTGCCCTCCCCCAACCTCCCCCGTTATCCCCTCATTCCCCCAGGGAGGGT